GTGTTGGTTTTTGCCTTCAACATTTAACATTCAGCATGGCATGGGCACATGAGCACCGCCACCTGGCATATGCTGCGCTTCTGGTCGGGACTCGGTGGTGTCCTTGAATGCCCCGCATGCCCATCACGTGCCCCGCAGCTCCCCTGGCCAGCCCGCATCCATTACGCACTTTTATATTCACATTCGCGTAATTATGCAATGCAAAAGCGCGCCTCCAACAGATAAATAACAAAAAGATACGGATGTGTTGGTATTTTTTGCCCGATGCAGGTAATAACAGAGCAAATATGTAATTACTACAAAATTTTATATTTGGGCGTGTGCAGTCGCAGCTCTGGTGGCAACTGCGAAATCCGTTTTCTATATTTTCCAGCATAATGAGGCTCACAAAGGGCCCCACTGAAGGGGCACGAGGGGCGGGGGAGGAGGAGGAGGAGCTGGAGCGGATTGAGGGCGGAGCGTTTTGCTGATGACTCTGTGGGCAAATAATTAGATATGCCGCTGGGCTAACCAGACTGTGAATAGAATGCCAAGCACACACACCGGGAAAACACACACATTCTACACCTGAAACAGTGGGACAAAGGCTACATTTAAGTGTAAGTTGTGGAATAGCTCTTAAAAAGTTGTATGTAGCCTCATGCTTGCGTAGTAATTTATATCAATGCATTAAAATTAAATTTTTCGTGAAATTATAAGATATTCCAACACATTCTTTATAAGTACTGTTGCACGTATTCCACATGGAGTTGATCTTATATTAAGTCCATGGAAATTACAAGAGCAAGCCCATCTTGATTAAGCGTAAGCTGAAAGCCAACCAGCGCTGATACTCATCTCCCAACGGAGTCAAGCTCATCGCGATTTTTCCGGCGATTTGCCGCGCAGTTTCCATGGTATCCGCCATGGTTACATACGTGGAGATGACGCAAACCGCCTACATTTTAGTGTGCAGCCGATGGCAGCTCCTCTCCCCCTGCTCCTCCGTGCTCCTCCACCTGCTCCAGCTCCTCCCCGTCTGCGCCTGTTAGTCCTCCGTGGTCCTACCAACCACATCCTGCCCTGCTCTCCGGCATCCTGACCTGCGCTATTCCAGTCTGGCCTGCTCGTTTCTGGTTTGCTCGGTCCAAACGGAGATTTCCCAGTTGTTTTCAGTGCAGGCTTGGATCTAATGGTGGTAAGGCTAAGCTGGCAGTCATGTGTGTTGCTCCTTCTTCTCCCAATCCTCCCAAGCCACCCGCTTCTTGTGGCCGTTGTCGTTGTCGTTGTTGTTGCTCCGACGCATGCCTCACTGGGCTCCAACCCAATCCCAATCCGCATCCAGGTCCCCGCCCTTCAAGCTCTTCAGCTGCAACCGACGGCTGTCTTTTATTTTAAGCAGCCACCGCGAAAAAAGTGAAACAAAAACCAAAACAAAAGCACAAGCAGAAGCAAAAGGAATAGCAGGGGAGTGGAAAATGGCTTGAAATCAAACACAAAACCTGGCCAAGGCAACCTGCACGGTGGGAAAACCTAAAACGTGAAAATCTCCGCTTGTGTGTCGACGTCATTGCCAAAAAAAGAAGAAAAGAAAAGAAAAGAAAAGAAAAGAAAAGAAAAGAAGAGAAGAGAAGACGAGGAAAGGTATGGACAAGAACTGTTTTACCTATGCAATTTGAATAATTTAATGGATTTTTATGAGCAGTAAACTGCGCACAGGATGGATGCACTCACTCAGTCCAGGAGCCCCACATTCCCCGACAGCCACGACTTGAAACATTTGGCCCAGGAGCAGCCAATTTGGGGGAATGGCTGGCGAAAAATGTCCTGCCAGTGACGGAAAAATCGCCGTAAATTCGCGTCGACCGGAATAAGGATGAGTTTGGGAATCGCATCGCCACTTGGGCAAAGAATTTTCTTTATTTTTGTGTGCCGAACGGTGTTGCCTTTCAAAATGGGCAAGGCACTTTAAGGCAAAAAGCTTAGCGGCGCAATAATATAGTTCATAAATAAATTGCCTTTGTTTCTTAAATATTAAACTGTGTTTATCATTCCCTTTGGTTTTCTCCTACTAGGCAAATCATTGCAAAATCCTTTAAAACTGAATAATAACTTCTACAAGAGCTGAAACCAAAGAAAAGCAAATTTAAGCACTATAGAATTACTGATTTAAGTGAAGTATAGTATGTTAACTTTAAATATCAATATCAACTATATACCGTTTACACTGCTTCACAAATCTCCTCTTGTTAGACAGCCTTAAATTCAAGTTGTCATCAATTTTTCTGCCCGCAGCTTGTCACATCTTACCCCAGCGAACTTTTTGCCCAGTGTAGTGGTGGATTCCTGTTCCGGCTGCTCTGCTCCGCTTCGCTTCGCCTCAGCTCGGGGGATCGGGTTCTGTGGGCTTATTCAATTTCGCAATCGCCGCCTCTGGAGTCGAGCCACCTCCGCCCCCATCCCCTGAAGCTGGCTGTGCCTCCGGCCATGTCCTGGCCTGTCTTCCCAATTGACTGCCGCGCCACTTCCGTTTCGTTGACGACGGCGCTGCGATGGCGATGGCGATGGCGATGGCGAGCCGATGGCGTTGGGAGCACCAAAGCCAGTCAAGCGTTCGCCTGCTGGATGCACAGCAGCAGCAACATCAGCAGCAACAGCAGCAGCAGCAACAGCAACTATGCTGCTGTCCTGGTCCGCGTTGTGCTGCAAATGCAATAAATTTTCAAGTCATTTCAACTTCCGGTGTGTGGCCCCGATTACAGTTTAGTAGCTGTAAATATAAAGCGATATATACTCACCCCTACACCGGGAGAAATAATTTAAAGTGTCGCGCTTGAGGAAAAAATGAAGTATACTAGAAGACTTAAGGATGTGAAGCTATTATGTGTACAAATTAACATCCCACGACTCTATTTAAAATATCTATTTAAAATACCACTCCAATTACTGCCTACATATAATATTATAAATAACAATCGGCGAACTTGAAAATATCATTTATGTATATTTTTTAGGATATGGGTATGTATGCAAAAATATATATTTTTCCAAGCACGCCATTCAAAAATCCCAATTTTACGGCAGCAGCTATTGCCTAGCCAACTTATGCACAAAAGTGCATACATTGATCGTGCGCATTTATTCTCAGTGCACAGATGCTAGACAGATCTGCCCACGCCCCTCATCAGTTTTCCATTGCCAGTGGCAACTTTTGTAGCCGTCTGGCTAGATTGACTGCGACTTGTTTTCATTTTAATGTCTGTTTTTAATCTTACGGCTTAGGTTTTTTCTGGCCGCCAACGCTGGGAAAAAAAGCCTAAAGTAATTACTGTTCGATTTTGCCAGCAAGGGGGGGAGGGGGTCTGGAAAATTCTCGGTCGGGGGGCTTATGGGGGTGGATGGAAAAATTATGGGAGACAACCGCCAGCTGACATTTGCAAAGTTTTTCTCGCTATTTGCCTTGTCATTGTCATTGTCATTGGGCTGCTGTTGTTTACCCATTATTATGTACAAATGTGTGGGTGTGGGCGTCTTTTGTTGTGCCACAAACACACACACACACACTCCTGCACCCCCACACATGGCTGTCTCTCTTTCTAGCCCGCTGTATCTGTCTCTGTCTCATCCTGTAACTGTCACATTGCCGGCACTTCATCATCATCAACAGCAGCAGCAGCAGTCAACGCTTCTCTCGCCCGCTTTCTCCCACTTTCTCCCGCTTTCGGCGCTCCTTCGCATGACGATTTTCTCACAGCTGGTGATTAGCGACCGGCGGTGGCGAAGGGGAGGACCAAGGAAACCCCACGATAACGACGTCACTGGGGGCGATGGCAAATGATTGCTACTTGAGGTGTAAACGAGCGCATTTTACAGCGTCTTTGAGATGTTCCAAAAACATCAAGTGAAGATGTACATACATATATGGAAAAGAGTGCACAAAAACTCGCGAGAAATATGGAAAAGGGAAGGGAAGCGCTCGCAGGAAAGCGGAAAAGTTCTAGCTGAAATCACTGCCACGCCTCCTTCTTGAATTCGTTATCGATATGAGCATAAAGCTTAAGCTGCAAATCGACTGACATTAAGTGCTATTACTCCCTGATATCATGTGTGGCATAAAGACCTCAAGCATATCATTATTAACAAATATGCTCTGCTGTTTTCGAACATATTTGGTAGAAGATTATGTAGATGCTTGCCAAAGATTGGCAAGAAAGTCTGAGCAAATTTTAAAAATAAATAATAACAATCATGAGCTAAACTAATTATAATTATTTAATTGTAAGCCATTTATGTGAATGTATCAATGTACTGTGGAACTACTATTAATTTGCTAAACAAAAAATCAGTAGATTTCTTTGCAAGTTACAAAAGAATCGAAAAATTGCAGATTTATATATCCCACAGCTCTGTCTAATTAGTTTCGTTCAATAGTATAACGAAAATAATTCAATTTTAATGGGTCAAACCAAAAAGGGTGAGTTTATCACTTCTTTTTTACACGTAAACAAAATGAATTCGGTGCTTTTCGTAAAACTTCGTCTTTTGTGCCATTCGCACATCTATATATGCATCAAGCTCGTATCTTGACTTTTTTCTTGGGTGGGCGGGATTTACTTATAAGTGTTTAATCATGCCCAAAAATTCAAAACCGTGTTGGATGCGGTTGCAAACACCGCTAAGAGGTCTACAAAAGTGGAGACTTGGCTGAAGCTCTGGAATTTACCAATTTAAATGTAGCGCCCTTTCCAGTAAAATACAACCAATATCGAGACAAAACTTTAAAAGAAGCTAATAAATAAATATTATTAAATGTGCTTTTTGGTGTAATTAAATGTACACCAGTATAAGGTTGCAGCGTAATTATGATTGGAACCTTATCAAGCAGACATTAAAACAATAAAATAGGGCAATTCAAATGAAATATTAAAACGCTATAAATGTATAAAATAATTGAAATAGGTTCTAGTCACAGCTGCATTAGTGCAGACTGCAGCCATATGGTTGCTGACCATACTATATTTCGATAAGGTACTAATCGACATTAACCCACCTCTAAAGTGCCGACCATAAACAAAGTTAATATCAAATAAACGCCCAGAGTTCTTCTCTGTTGTTAAGCAAATAAAGTAACTGTTTAGCATGTCTCTCTTTCCGGCCTACGGCGGTGGCCAGGCCCCAGCAGCCGGCAGTGCGAAAGAGATGGCGAAAACAGATGAAGAGCCGCCAGCAACAAGCGCGAATTGGAAAAACAACGAGAGTTACATCCAAAAGCATATAGAAGATGTGGATATAGCAACTGAGGAAGCCCAACCAGACAGCTCCGCCAGCAGCGAGGACTCCGAGGAGGAGGCGGACAAGCGGAAGCAAGAGGATGTCCCCAGGGCCAAGGAAATATCCCGCCGTAAACCCCTAGAATTCGATGTCAGCGATGAGTTCTATGTGGACAAGAAGGGCAACAGCTCCTATAGAAACATCAGCACCCTGACAAAGCCCGCGCGACCACGCTTCAAAACCCGGATGGCACGACTATGGGATGAGGAAGACAGGCACCTTGGCTTCTCAAGGGCTCACTCCAAGTTGACCCTGAAGAACAGTCGCTACATCAGAAAGCAGCTGCCCGTTGAAACACTCAGCGATGAGGAGGTGTCCAGGCTGCGGGAGGAGCTCACCCGCAGCAAAGTGCTCGTCCAGCGGGAACCCGAGGTGCTGGACCACTGGCTGGAGCTGCACCGCCTGCTGAATCTCAATTTGGACAAGGCCAATCGACTGGCGGTGGCGGAGCATCAGCTACACACTCTGGAAACGGCTTTGGAGCACCATCCGTCCAATGAACAGATTCTGCGGCTCTACACGGACGTGGCCAATGCCACATATCAGGCTAGCGAGGTAATCTATGCGTTAATTACTACTGGGTTTCCGAAAAGGTGGGATCTTTGCTAGCGCATATATAGTGCATATAAATTTATTTGCACTAGTAACCCGGAAATATTTTCAAAACAGGATCTAGTACTCTCTAATCAAACTATCAAGCTGTTAGCCCAATTCGATTGACACTTTCAAAGCCGTCGGCACCAGCTAAGAAAATTTTTGAGAATATATTTTATATCGAATTGAAAAGTCGGTATTGGTAAGCGCAAGCATTTAGAATTTTTATAGTTATCGCGTTAATTACAATACATTTGATCAAAAACGAAAAAAAAAAAAACTACATAACAGAGCATTTTATCAATATATTCATTTGTTTAGGTCGCTGCACGCTTAGAGAAAATGCTGAAGAAAAACCCCTTCGAGTACATTCTGTGGACAAACCTAATAATGGTCACCCAAGGCAACATGGCGCGTTGCAACGTGCCAGCGGTGCTCCAGATTTACGCGTACAGCATGCGCCGAATGCAAGTGGGACACACTGATGAAATAACCCGCAGATTCGAGACGACGGAGACGGATGTGATAATGCTGAAATTGTTTCACAATTGCTTACTATTTCTACGCCAATCTGGCTATATTAACAGGATGTTTTCCTTGATCCGCTTGTCCATGGATCTGAATTTCCCAGGCCTGTCGCTGGACTGCCTAGAGGCATGTGCCGAAAATGAAAAACCATTGATTGAGTTCGAGGAAATGGTGCTGCGTTCGGGAATGCCGATGCCCGAGATCTGGTCGCGAGTGGAGAAACTCAGGCAGGCGTACAGCTACCTGCCGTTTCCACTCTTAACGTGCGAGGCGATTGATGACTTCCGATTCCGAGATGGGCTGGATTCCGAACGATGCGTGTTCAGCGACGATGTTGTCCCATTTGCACACGCACTCAAGTCACCAGACAATCGCTTGCACCTGCTGCTTGTGGTTGTTCAACTAACGAAAATGCCCCTGATTCGGAGCTCTTGTTTGGCGGACAAATTAAATCCTTGCATTGATGAGTTCGGCGAGTCTGAGGCCATTGAAATGCTCTTCGCTGTCCTGACAGATAGGCACTCCTATGCGCTGCCTTTCTCGCACTATGCACACTTTTATGCGCCCATGATCAACTTGGTCAAGGGCTTGTCCGTGACTCCCAGCTTCATACCGCACTTTGTGGGCCATGAAGTGTATGCGGATACCGTCAGCAAATTGCTACTCAAATGCAGCGAAGCCTTTAGCGGCGAGGAGACCAAGCGACGGGTGTTCCTGATTCTGTGGTTTCGATTCCAACGGCTCTTAATAGTGCTGCACAAGCTCATGGGCAAGCTAACGAAATCTTATTTGAAGGATACACGCAGCCGGATTCGCGACCAAGTGAGTTTGCCAGAGAATCGGGATATTATACGTTTCTATACGGAGCTGGCCTTGTGCGAATTCGAGGCTCAGGATAAAAACGACAATGACGGACGGAACTTTTCCGTATTTTGGAAGATCATCTCCGAGAAATCGTCTGAATCGAGCCGCATCAGTTGCACGGACATGATGCATCTCTATTTGGTTTGTGCTGAGTTGCTTATACAAAATGGTCTTAAGGACAGGGCCATCCAAGTGCTCATTTCACTGTGTCTGGAAACACATGCCACTTTAGACGAGACACCTAGCAACTCCAAGCAACTGATTGTGAAAAGCATGAAGAGCGGAATGAAGCTGGTGAAGGCGGAACTGGAAGCCCTCGATTCACAGCCGGCTGAGATGGCTTTGGAGGAGTACTTCCTGCCCAACAAACTGCTCATCTTGTTGCGCGTTCTCTGTTTAATCGACATATTGCATAACCCCCAGAATCTGGAGATTAGAAATTTTCTCAATGAGCTGCAGCGGAACCAACTTGGCCCCGAGGCAGCCAAGGCCAACGAAAGAAGGCGTTTCCTTAGGGAGCAAGTCATGGAAATGCAGATGCTACAGCTGCAGTTGTGCATTTCACTATCTGATTATGATATGTACTACGGATTTACTAACAGGAGGCTGGAGGAACTGCTGGAACGTGGACTCGACGAATTTCCACGAAATATGGTCTTTCTACAGCACTGGGCCAGCCTTAAAACGATATTGTGGTACAAGCAGCGTGGCTGCCTTATACGCGCCAAAGCCGGTATCGCTTCACTAGCGCACCTGGTCATTGCTGCTTACAGTCGCTTTGGGAGCATAGAAGACAGCGATGCTTTTTCGAGTGACGCACTACAGGTGGCGGCGCGCAATCGTTTACTCAGCTTGTTTGAGACTTTCCTCCCGACCAATTTAAATCGCTCGGAGATCGAGGAGCAGCAGTATCGCGTTTTGCGCAGAAACTCCATCTTTTGGCGCCTGTACATGACGTGCCTATCCGAGGCGAATGCCGCTTTTCACCGCTGCAAGGATGTCCTGCTGATGGCGATTGACGAGTGTCCCTGGGACAAGGCCTTACTAATGACGGGCGGCATGATTTTGCCGAATGAACAGTCATTCCTACATGACCTGATGACCGAAAAGCATATGCGCATTTTCGCTGTGCCCGAGGAACTGGAAATCTTGCGGGACCAGTGAGTCTCGTCGGTTAAACTTCTCAATTGTTTGATGTTATTTACCATTCGAGCAACTCGATAAGCAAGCTCTTTAAATATATTTTTTTTTATCCCAATTACAGAGCTGAAGTTTGCTTTGACGAAATTATGATAAGCTGTTTGAAATAATGTACGCATATGCATACCTTACTTTATAAATCTTAAACCTTTTAATTGCTTATCAGAATTGGAGCATTAACAAATTCGATAATTCGCCATCCGATTATGTCAAAAAATTCCACTACTTTATAGCCGTTGCTGCGCGGAGTACCCAATCGCATATCAAATGTCCAACTCCATCTTCTGGCCAATCCGCTCCCAGAATTTAGCGTTTTCCTGTGTTTATTTTTTTGAATTTGTTATCGCAAGATAACCGAAGAAAACTTATAAGGCAAAACAGCGCCGAAAGAAGCCCTGAGGTCGCAATTGTAGCACCTTTGTTACTGAAAATAACGTATATTGTAAATAGTTGTTAGGTCTGTTTAGCAAACGCTTAGATCAGTTAAGAATGTATTTTAAGATGTTTTCTACATTTTAGTTAAATTATTATTGAAATGTGTTGTCTTAATAACACACTTGTTAAGACACTTAGATGTAATTTGTACAGCCTAAGGGTTTTTGTAACTCTTCATATTAAACGACATCAGTGATATTAACGGTTAAATACGATATTTTAAATGCAACCTAATTTTGTGACCACAAGTGTGCTGACCGAGATGCGTGAGTGCGAGGGAGACGACTCGGTCTGAGTGTTGGTTCGTCTCGAATGTTGCGTATGCGCCCTGTCTGCCCAGCGACTGTGCGTTACTGTTGCTCTTCGGAAAAACGTGAAAATCGAGAGAGGAAAAGCTGCGATGGGGCAGATGAGTAATGGGGGTGAAAAGCTCCGCTCGCCGAAACGCATCAAAAGCTGTCTGAGCACGAGCGTCCTGGCTGCTGTCTGTACATCTGTCCGCCTGCTCGTCCGCCCATCCGACGTCTTTGGACCAGGCCTCATCGTTGGCAGTCGGTCGGCATCTGTCCAAGTCCCACGACGCGTTGTCGCTCCGCATCGGCCGTTGCTGCAGTGGAAGCGGCCCGTTTGGCCAAGTGGCGTCTCCGTAGTCCCTAGTCTCATGGCGGCGGGGTCTCCTCTCGAGGTTTCCCAGGCACTCCAGTCCGTTACCAGTTCCTAGGTTAGTGCTAGAGCTCGGAATATCTGCCCGATATCGGACCAATCCATATATATACATACATATATCCCTGTTAACAGCCGTGTGGACTTGTCCCATTTCCTTTCGATAGCGAGTGTAATTTTTTTGAGAGTGCTCCCCCTGTTCCAAGTGCGTGTGTGTGTTTCTTTTCCTGTTTGGGTGTGTGCGTGTGTGTGTGTGCTTGGTTGTCTCTGTGTTGGTGTAGAGAAGCAGCAGCAGAAGCAGAAGAAGAAGAAGCATTGTATAAGACGCCAGCGCCAAGTTCATAGACAAACAGCGACACTCTTTTTCGTCTCTGCTCTAGCCCAATGAAAAAGCTTTTCAGAGAGGAACTCAGAAAATGAGAAAACGATAGAGACAGAGAGCGCAGAGAGCGCCGGTGCACTGCTCGAAAAAGTGGCTCCTAGTGATTCGCACTGAAAACTATGACTTACTTTCAAGCACCTTTAGCAGTGATTTCAATGCGCTACATGCTTCTGTGATGAATTATAAGATTTTTTGCAAATTAAAATAACTCAAATACCACAAATAGTGAAAACAAGTGCAATCAAAATAATTGATAATAATTATAAAATAATTAATAATATATATTAATATTATTTTATGGGTTCTTTGGAGATTGCGAGTGCCACCATAGGAGGCACCAATGCAGGCCCCATATATACTATTCCACGGTCGATTTTTTTTCCACAACTTTGCAGCATTTTTCCCGGTGCACTGGGTGAGCATGAACTCGGCGAGGGTTTCCCGGCCGGAAACCTTAGTCAAGGTCTCGCCAGCGCCAGCTTTTCAACGCAGGTTGTTGCTGCGCTCTCGCTCGCACCCGCTGCTGGTGGGCTGCTGGCTGGGCCATCTCTGTCGCACCGCGGTCGATGGCGAGCGAAGCTTTATTGTATATTTCATCTTCCACGCTCTTTTCCCTGCTGTTTCTGTTGCTGTTTCTGTTTCTTTGGGGCTTTGGGGCAGCGGCACCTAGAGCGGGAGCGGAGCGTTAGCTTTCCGGGCAGCTGATTCGCGCTCGCCTCTCCGCTCGCTGCCGCCGTGGCTGCTCCGCTCGTCGTCTGGCTGATTAGTTTAGTTTGTGATTTCAATATATGTAATTAATTTTTGTTTCTGTAGCGGTACGGACGGACGCGTCGCGACGTTCGCTTGGTTCGCTTGGTGTTCGTTCGGTTGGTTCGCTTGGAGCTTGGAGTTTAAATTCGGTTCGCCAGCCGTCGCTGTTTCGTATTTATTATTTTTTATTTTTATGAGTATTCGTATTTCGCATTTGTATCTGAATGTTTCTTTGGCTCTGCGTACGTGTGTTAGCGATTGTGCGAGCTTCCTTCTCTTTCAACTTGCCTTTTTCGTGGTCGCCGCCGCTGCTAAAATGCAAAGAACACGCTCGAGCAACGTAAATGGCGCCGCGCTAAGGAATGGAATTGGAATATCAAACAGTACTCTTCAGAGCCCCATATAAAAGTTGAAAAAAAGAGGAATTAAAACCGAAACTCAGCAAGCAACAAACAAACTTCGCTTTGACAACACCCACCCCCGCGCTTTTTTTGCATGTGTGTGTTTGTTCCAGTGCTTGTGCTTTTGTGTAAAAAAAGTTCGAAACAACAAACTAAAAACGCGCTCCGGAGGAATTATTATCAATAAGGTACATATATGGCTGTTACCTTAAGCATATAGTACTTATAGGGCTATATTCCAGTTTCAACAACCGAACGTTGGTGTATTCTCCTATTATACCACTAGTATATTCATAAAATCAATGGTAGATTTCTTACCAAGGCAAGGTTTCGGCACTTAAATAGCGCTGTTGGTGTATTGTTGAAAAAACATTGGTATTTTTTGTGTTTTGCAGTGTAGATAGTGTAGTGTAGTTTCCACAATCAATTTCTAAGCGCAAAATTAATATTGTTGGAACGTTTAAGCTTAGCCGCTGTTGGTGAACATACACCAACGTGTATTGTTGAATTCGTGTATTATATGCTGTTGCTCAGAGTGCTGTGGTACTTGTACTGTTTCATTTCCGTTTTTGTTCACTAATTTCAATGTTTTCTTGAGCAGAGAGTTGGTTGTATATGGTGTAGCATTTATGTGCTGAAATCAGCGGCGCGTGCGCGCATTTTTGCGCGATCGAAACCCGAGAACGATTCACTTTTTTGTCGACTTGGGAAAAGTTTCGATTTACGAAAAAAAATTCCCACTGTCTGTGTTTGTCATCCTCCGAAAATCTGCTTATCCAACACTAACGATCGCCCAGCCACAAACACATAGAAATGCCAAAAACTATCACATTCGCATCGACACAATCAATGAGGCAAGACAAATAAAATTAACATATTAATGAATTTCCAGTTTATTTTTTCGACTTATTTAATTTTAATACCAAAAAAAAAAAAAAAAACAACAGAAAAACAAACCAGAACTCGAGTCTATCGACTTCGGTATACCCAAAGACCACGAAAGCGGGAAATGTGAATATGGCCAAATTCCAGATCTGTGCTTTAATGGGTGTGCGGAGATCAACGGATTCCAATGAATATTGATGTTATATAGCGGGGCACTTTATGATGGGTTCTTAGCCTCCCTTGAACTTGTAGGCAGCATAGAAAAAGTTTGATGGAACTGAGCTTTGGATGATAATAGCAATAAAAGTAAATACTTGTATAAATAGCCCAGCATAACATCAGGCATTTGTTGGCAACAGTTTTTCAATGATTTACCAGTTCCGAGTTCCTATCAATAAAAGTGTTTTTTTGCCATTCGGTTTGGTTTCTTCTTTCCAATTTTTTGTTTTTTGTTCGCCTGTTTCGTTGCCGCTCTCAAGGTTTTCTGTTTGCTGGTGCCGATGGTGATTATGATGATGTTGATGATTTTTGTATGGACGTTTTCCATTTTTATTATTTTCTCGGTTACTTTTTGGCTTTTGTTTTGTTTTATGTGCGATAATTAATTTCTACGTCGCATGCTGTTGTTGGCAATTCAATTGAGTTGAAAGAGCGCGAAATGTTAAAAATATAGTGTACAAATCTTAGGACAGTTTTTTTTTAAAATCCATTGGCACTTTGGGGAGATCTAAATTATAACCATAACATTATTTAAAAAAAGAGAAAAACATATAATTTGGGATGTCTGATTCATTTTTAGGGACAATAAAATATGCAGTCAATGTGGTGGGCATTTCTCTTTGTTTTATATTTATTACGAGTTCGCATATGTAAACATATTTATATTTTTTTATATTTTGTTGCTCTTGCCGCCCTCATCAAATTTTTTGCTGACGTCGCGTCTAAGAGCGATCGGCTTAGCTGAGCGTCAAGCGTTCAGCGTTCAGCGTTGAGCGTTGAGCGGACCAAGCGGTATAGAGAGTCGAAAGCTCGACGCAAAAATGCGGGCAGGGGGCCTGCTTGGTGGGCAGGAGGGTGGGCTTGTAGAGGGGCCAAGACGCTCGAAAGCTGCGGGAAAAGGAAAGCCGAACCTGTACTGAAAGCGGACCTAAGTAGCGGCAATTGATAACCTAACCTAGACAATAAAAACGACAGCCAACCGCTGGCGACCCCCAGAAATGACGTCCACTACTTGAATAACTTGCCATTTTTAGTTAAATATTTAATTCTCAATTAAATGTGTCAGATTCCCTGGCCGTCACGCACAATTTAAGGCAGGGAACGTTTGCCGTGAGAAATGGAATGCTAATATTGAAATGAGCAAGCTAATGGTACTACTTTTTGTTCCACAATTTGTATTCTAAAATACAACCGGAAAAACTGCATATACTACGAATACGTTTTACATTTTGATTTCTTTCGAATGGCATTAAGAACAATGTAAGCTATCATAAATTAAGGGCAATCAAATCGAGCCGCAAAGAATGTGGACTGCCAAAACACAAGTTTATCGATAAATCGAATCTTAATTGGAGGCGAATTTAGCATGCCTGATTGGATCGCATATTGCCGAGATAGCTTGACGCCATCTTAGCCAGCTATGCTAATTAAATCGATTTGGCTTAGATTAGCCACGCTGCTGCGGTTCACATGGCGTATGTGCAATAGCCTCGATACAACATAACGCATACGCCTAGTGGCCAGGAACGCATGATAACATAATATATCCAGCGGTTTTGTGCATCATACAGCGTCTTATCTCTCCTCATAACTTCTACCTTCCTCAAAGTCTCTGTAGGTCAAACTAGTTTTATTTCTTCAACAGATTAGCAATATAATCAGCTTGAAAGCTCCGCATTCTAGTGAGACAGATAGTTACTATAATTTCATTTATTTTTCCCATTATTTCAACTCGTCTCTTTAGCTCCGTTAATTTGAAACTCAAGTAACTGATATGGTTTTCGATCATCGATTGCTATAGCTCCTCCTATATTACCTATGTTATGGAATGTTATGCAAAGTGCACTCGCAAATCTTTGTAGAACGTGCTTTAACGGCCACGTTCTTCTTGCCCTCTCTTTCTTCCCGCCCATCTTGTTCTCCCCAATAGCTCTTTCTTCTCCGTCCGCTCTCGTTCTTCAGTTGCTCTCTTTCTCCCCCCATCGAGTGCTCAGCTATTTTTGGTTTCTGCGACAACTTTTTGCCACCACCACCACCTGATGTCGACGTCAGCTTTGGGCCAGGTCGAAACAGCAGCGTCTCGCTTTCTTTTGTAATTAGCCCTGCAAGGATATTTTCAATCAAAATGTGGCTATCAACGTGGAATCAAGTACTAGATGAAAAAACTAGTTAGTTTCTGTTTCCTATGTTATATTTGTTTTATTAGACTAAGAAATTTGATTGATGAGTAAAAGTGCTGGCATTAGCTCTCCACAAAAATAAATATT